CTGAAGGGAGAGGTCTCCTACAATTGCTGCAGTTTGCATTTGGATTTGACTTGCACAGATTGGCCATTTCCTGCTCCTGCAGGTGTATATATTTTTCCAAGATCTGGAAAAAAAACAGCTTTTATTAACTCACAGAAATCCTTACACAAGCTCTTAAATACTCAAAAATGACAAATTCATCCATTAATGAATCTGCTTCTCTGAACTGGAGAATATATCATGATCCTAGTGGGCAAGGCAAAACAGGAGATAGGGAGAGAGAAAACATGCAGCAGAACATTTCTATATTTTGACAACAGCTATTAATATAGTACAAAGAGCACATTGTTAAGCTATTTAGGTTGCAACTTTTAACTTGCCCTCTAAAATTCCTTTGTAACAAAAAGGAAGTAAGTTTAGCCCAGCTGCAACTTTATTCCTTTCTTCCATGCTTTAAATAAAGAACCACCTTGCAATGAGCTCTTTGCCTCTCCAATTTCTCCAGTCCAAGGTGGTCCAGCAAGCAGGCACTGGATGAAGGCTTAAAGCACTCTGCTATTCCTGGCTCTGACACTGACCTGCTGCACAGAGGGCAGCTTGGTTGACATCTCTCTGCCTCCACTTCCCCTCCCAGCCCTTGTTTACCCTGGCTATTTAGGCAGCAAGCGCATCAGGGCAGAGACCGCTCTTGCTGGGCCTGTACAACAGCTGGCAAAACAGACACAGGCTACCAGACACAACTGTAATATCACTATAATCAACAAAAACTCTAAAGGCTTTGTGCTACTGCTCAGCTACAGTTTAGCTGCAGAAAGCATTCTTAAATCTTAACTTTTCCTGTGATATGCTGCCATGCGTTTTTGGAACAAAAATGCTCCCTTTACCTTACGTCACAAATACAGGGCTTGACTCTTGCTTCAGCTGCTCCTATCACTGAGTGAATCAAAAAAATCTTCAGCAGAGAGACTATCTTTTACCATACCCATGATAATGTCTTGTTGCAGTACCAGTCTACACAAAATCAACATGACTATACAGAACAAGGGGCAGCCTGACACAGAAAGACTTGTAGAACATGTGCCAAGAACCACATCCATCTAAAACCATTCTATACTGCTATAGTACTGCACAATATTCTATTAAGCATTTTCTTACTGCTGACTCAAAGAAGACACAGCAGATTTTTCACACTAAGATTGTGCTTTAAGAACCCTTCCAAGTCAGGCTGTGCTGTCCCAAATATACAGTAATTCACGCTGATGTGAATCTAGTGACTTATTTCCACCACCCCACCACCACTCCCCTTAAGGAACGAAGGGTACAGAAATATTGCTCAAAGCAAACTTACTTCTTTTTCTGCAAATGCAAAATGGAATCAGAACCTTAAATACTTAACTTCACTTACATCTGCAGCTCCCGATTAGCTGAATCTACCAGATAGGGCAAATGAGAGACTGTCACTGCTGTGAATATGCCTTTCAGCATAACAGATAGTGTCTGGGATTAAGTCCACATCTTCCTTTGATAACATTAGTAAGCCAATTTAACATTTTTTAAGCCTAAGTATATGTCCTGAGATAACCATAGCTGGCAATTTTTAAAGGTAGATAGGATGAGAAGTAATCTTAACAATTAAATCAAACAGTTTCAGGTATACTACAATTTCTCTTCTCCATGCTGCTAACAGCTAGGGGCTTTCAACCAGTTTCTTATAAATTTTCTCTCTTCCCTATTTCAGCATAAAGAAGTTTTATAAGCAAGCTGACTGTGCAAATAGTTGTTTCACGTACAAGCTAAAGCCTGTTCCCTCTGATCATCTTCTTACAATTATCTGAAGATATACTGAACAGAAATAACATTTTAAAGAAATGGTGTAATTTTCAAGTTAATCACCCTTTTAAAAAATGGGGAAGTGGGAGCAGGGGGGGTAGGTTTCACAGCTATCTTGCACTCTAGGCTCAAATTTATCTCTATTTACAAAGCATTAACAGATGGCTTATCAAAAGCCATTTAACAGCAGAAATGATCAAACTATTCTGAGATTTTTTTTGTTGTTTTAAACAGTAAATACTCCCTAGACTAGTTTTTAACTTATGCCAGCCTCCCAGGGACCATCAGTTTAAGATCTAATGTTAGAATCATGCACGTTATTTCATTAAGTACATTTACCATAAACAGTTCCAGCCTCTGTTTTCTCAATTGCAGACTGTATTGCACAAAAATCTTTTAAAAGCAAAAATCAGTGTTCACCTCATGCAGGGTTATCCAGAACATGAAACAGAAGCTTCAGCTCTTCAGCAAGCCAAAGCCCAGCTTGACAAAATCAAGATTTACTCTATATCACTAAGAAAGCACAGTTATCAAGAAGGTCAGCTATCCATCATCTTCATCACCATTCTATCTACCCAGTGATATTTTAGCTTAAATACCCGCTCAGCTCAAATATAACCTTCAGTGAGAAACCTACCAGGTTCCTGCTTAGAATTACTATCAGGAAGAAAGACTATGTACCCAGAGGCTTACCTCAACTCCCTCCCCAACTTGCATCAGTTAGTCAAATAAAATATAACCTCCCTCTGCAAACCTTACTCCCTCAATTCCATGAGCAGCAATCTTGGAGACATGCATGAGGAGCAAGTGGTATGAAAGAGACATGGCTATTTAAAACCCTCAAGCTGCCACAGAGACTATTAAACTCTTCTTCAGCTAAGTACAAATTTTACAGCTGTACCACATCTCAACACAGACTCACGCTGGTTCTTCTGGAGATGTACAGATACCCAGACCACCAGGTACTGTGATATGCCCTTGTCTTGTTGCCAGAAATGTCCACCCTACTGGAGCAAAACTTCTTACACCTGCCCCCAGATGCTGGGTCTCTACACAAGAAAAACAAGTGCTTAGCTTTCAGGTATTCTCCATAAGATCTGGTACACTATTTCAAAGAACTGAAGATTGTCTGAGCCTTCCATGAAGTTAAAAGTAATTGAAGGATTAATTCTCCAGATATATCTCAAGGTTCCTGCATAACCAGCCTGTAATGTCCCTTGGTGTATTACCCATGATTAACTTCCTAGAACCAGGGCAGTGCTGACCAATGCTAAAAGCAACATTCAGCACAAGAGTTGTTTAAAGAAAACTTGAAAATAGGACTCAGCACAAAAGCACATCCTAGAATTACTAAAAAAAATCTGTCCATAGCAAACCTAACAGCACTGAAGTCCCTGGGAGCTTATGATACTTAAGCAGCCTTCCCTTCACTTAAACCCTCTGACCTAGCAAACCTCTTCCATAGCTGTTTATAGACCTGCATTCCTCTGCAGCGGGAAGTGGTGGTCCTTACATATGCTGCACCTGCTCTGCCGTACACCTGATCCCTCTTGCAACTGAAGGAGCATAGTATCACCTTATTCTTAATGAAAAATACAGAACTTCATTTCCTCAGGAGACAAAATCATATATCACAGCAGAGTCCAACACAGCCATACTACCGTGCTTATTCCTGCTGACTTCCAAGGGAACTGTGCTTAACTTTCAAACTGCAGAGACAGAATAGGTTGAAGTACAGGCCTGAAAACACAACACAAGGATTTTCAGCACCACCAAAGTTCTGCTCCTGCCAGAAGGACCCATAATTGTTTCTCTAAAGTCTGTGCTATTCGAGACAGAAAAAATAGTGCTCAAAACCTGACATCCCTTCTTTTGATTCATGTCAACACAGTGTTTACAGAAACAAACAATACTGAGTCACTGGGTAACAAACAAAATCCTGGACTGGCAGCAAAAGGGAAACCACAGGAAGGGATTCATAGATCCCAAGAACATAAACCTCCTTTTGGGATCCTTAGAGTAGCAAGGAAAGTCCACATTGTGTGGCTGCCTCTGAGTGACATTTCATACACTATCAAATCTAAGAGAGGAAAGACAATGTTTAGGTCCTTACCAACCATCGCCAAGGCCCAAAAGCACTTAATCTAAAATATGCTGGTGTCACACACAGCAAAGCCAAGAGGGCTCACACCTATCCTTAACCTATGATACGCTGTTGAACTCAAGGGGGGAACACCACAAAAAAACCCAACCCTATCCACAAAACTTTAAACCTCAGAAGCCACAGAGTCCAAAAGTCAGTTTCTTGTCACTTTCTCTGTGACAGCCATCACCAGCTATACCAGCAAGCCACTCCATGAGCAGAAAAATCTAAGAAACATGTATCCCTGGGGCTCCCTGCCACGAAGGCTCTTGCACCGAGCAACACGTGTAAGCCCACTCTCCAGCTTTTACTTGGCACCACCTCAGGCCTTGCTCCCTTGCAGCTTCTTCTCTGAGGCATCTTCAAAGCCATGGCAGGGGCCGCTGCTCAGCAACAGGGAAGCAGCATGGGCACGCAGGGGTCACCCCAGCTGCACACGGCAGCTCTGCCCATTTATTCGTGCTCCCACCTCCCCTAGCTTGAGGCCCCCGACACTACGTGTTTTGTTAGGAGGAATGCAGGGGATCGAGCTGTGCTGGCGAGGCCCTCAGGCCCCAACACTTGAGGGCCGCTCCCGCCGGGCCTGGCACTCGAGGGGACCCGGAAAGCTGCCGCCACGCTCGCCCCCTTCCTCGCGTGAACAAGCAGCGCCGCCCCACAGGCCCCCAGCCCTCCTGGGCAGAGCTGAGGTCGGTCAGGCCCCACCGCCCCGGGGCAGCCACACGCGGGCCCGTCCCTCCCCTCCCAGAGGGCGGCCCCACTGCAGACCCGCCGCGGCGGCCCTTCCTCTGCCCTCGCCGCCCCTCTTGGCACAGACTAACGACGGCGCAGCCGCCCTACTAGAATAGCCGCCCCCCCCCCCCCCCTTCCCTCCGCCCCCTTAAGGCAGCGGGGAGCCCCCCTTAGCGACTACGCCAGGAGCGCAGAACGCCCCTTAGCAACCAGCTAGGCCGCAGCATCCCCGGCCTTTCCCAGCAGCCGCGGCCGCTTCCCCCCCGCCCTTCCACCGGGAAGGCCGCGCTTACAGGTCGGTGCCGAGCTGGGTGAAGCCGGAGTTGAGGCAGCCGCGGGCTATGCGCCTCCAGAGGAGATCGCGGCTACTGAGGAAGCGCAGGCGGCGGCAGACCTGGCCCAGGCGGCCCAAGGCCTGCGCGTCCAGGTAGGAGCAGATGAGGAGCAGCAGCTCCTCGGGTAAGGCCCAGAGCGGGGAGCGGGGGGAGGAGGAGGGGGAGGAGGCGGCCCGGGATCCCCCCTCCGCCTGGGGGGATCGGGGGCTGCCCTTCCTCCCCATGGAGCAGCAGCTCCTGCCCCTCCTGCCTGGGAGCCGGAGCTGCTGCTGCCCGGGGGAGGCCAAGCCATGGACGGGGGCAGCCGCTCCCCAGTCACATGGGGCAGGAGCTGCCGCCTGTCACTCCCCCCCTCCGGGGGAGGAGGCGACTACCGGGACAGGAGGGAGCACCGGGCCGCCAAGCCCACCCTCGTTAGCGAATTAATTCATTAACGGGAGCCGCAGGGACTCCCCCTGTGCAACTGCTCCCCCCCCACCCCCCGCGGCTCGGCGCACGGGTCCGGGTTCTTCCGAGCTGGGATTAGTAACATCACCTGATCCACATACTCAGTAATAATGTGAATAATTAATGGTGGGGACGGTGATCCCAGGTAACCAGAGCATCTGCTCCACCACCTGGAGCAACCCCAGCTAGGCACTGAACCCCTGCAAAGGAAGGTGAACAGCAAGGTGATTAATGCACATTAATTATCCTTGAGCAGGGTCAGGGGCACCTGTCACCCACGAAGTGACAGCAGGGGTCATCTGGTGCTGCACAGCAGTTTTCAACACTCCCAAATTCCTGGGCCACATAAAAGAAGGGGTCTTCCCCACATGAGAGCAGGCCCTGCTACAGTGTATTTAAGACCAGCTTCTCCCAGGGACCCTTTGGTGCAGTCCATTCCCCCTACCAGGTCTCCACGGAAAACTGCTCACACTGCACACGTGTGTGTACATATATACAAGCACACCGCCACGAAAGAACAGCTCATAATAACTGAGTCATTGTTGCCATCCACAGGAGCCTAGAGTACTGACAACACAGAAGGATCCTGGTCCAAAATGGCAAAGTAGCCCTCCACAGTCTGTGGAGAAGGAAAATATGAGTCTAGTGTTGTGTTATTCTTTCTTATAGTATTTTCCACTCTAGAGAAGCCTGAAATGCTTGGGGAAATTTCTCCCTCAAATAATAGATAAATTATAAGAAGTTCATCATCTGCCTAGAATGCTTTGAACAGGTATCACTTACCCACCACAGTCAACATCTCCTTTTGCACAGAGGAGTAGGAAAGTAAATTTCAACATATAATGATGTTACCATAGCATACAGGCCTTTAGACAGTACTTGCATCCTGTTCCAGGAGGTCATCTTGTCTGTGTAATCTCAAGCACTCGAATATTCACATGGCTAAATCACCAACTCTGGAAGCCTTGTATTTGAGAGGTTCAGAACTGCTGGCTGAGGAACTGTCTGGTCGATATACACCAATTTTCAATACAACCTGGAAGTCAGGAAAGTTCCAGAAGGCAGCAAATATTTTATCAGCAGTTATAATGAGTGAATCAGATGGCCCAAGTAATTAAAAATCTCTCAACCTAAGTTCAAGATCAGGTGAAATAACAGCACATTTGGTACAGGGCTTAAGTTGCCATTTGAAAGGGAGGTAATATAACAAATTTTGCTTAACATGAGATTATGGAAACTTGGTGTGAATGCAGTTTTATATCAGTATCTTTTTGATGACATTAAACTTAGCTCTTTTGTAATAGACTTCGGCAATGTCTGAAACATTAAATTTGTTAAAATCTGAATGACTTCTCCATCTTAAATTGTTATTGTAAAGGCAGATTTATTAATAAATTGGTCTCCCTCCACTAGGATCCCACAGAGACAGATTGTGGACCCTACATTATTTAATATTTTACTAGTAACCTGAAAAAGTTCTGAAATCACTATTAGCAAAGTTTTGTAGAAGGCACAAAGCATGGGGCAAGAGGCAAAGGATACATACGGCTGCATAACCCTATGTTATGTTTAGGCATAGTCAAATCGTATGTATTCCAATCAAGACAAATGTAAAGTCTCACATCTAGGAACAAAGAATGTAGGTCACACTGAAAGGATGTAACTCTATACTGCAAAGCTGCAATTCCGTAAAGACTTCATTAAGATGAATAATCAGCTGAACGTGAGCTCCTTCTGCACCAAAGGGCTAGTGCTGTCCTGGGAAACAAACAAGAGCTGGGAAGTTCTTTTACCTCTGGTTTTGACTCTGTTGTGACTGCTTTGGAAATAATTTGTCCAGCCAACATTTCAAGAAGGATGTTGAAAAACTAGAGGGGTTTCAAAGAAGAGTAGTAAGAATGATTACAGGACTGTCAAACACGTTATATAGTAAGACTCAAAGTGCTCAGTCTATTTGGCTTTCTAAAGAGAAGGTTAAGGTGTGAGGTGATCATACCTTCTGAGCACTGAAACAAGAAGAAAAGTCTGGCAATACCAGGATCTTCAATTTAGCAGACAAAGAGATAAGATCTCTTGACAGAAGGTGATGGGAAGCAAATTCATAAATAAAGCATGCTTTTGTAGTGAAGAAAATTAGCTGTTGAAACAGCTTCTCAAGATTTATGGTAGATTCACCATTATTGGATTTTAAAAAAAAAAAACGATACCTGTTGTTTTTTTTTTCTCTTAGAGAGCCTGGCTAGACCACAACTACTAAAACTTAAACCAGGAATTGATCTGGCATGTCCTAACTCTAGATATCAGACTGAGACAGTCAAAGGGGCCACTTCTGGTTTTAGACTCTTGTTACTGTACAGAGGCTACATCTGCACGGTGTATGTCTCCCTGCACTACATGATGCCGATATTTCAGTGTACAGTAGTCTCCAGTCTCTGGTCGTGCCACTTGACCAAGGAAACTACTTGGTGCAGTCCAGAAGGAGTTTGGGTGCAAAGTAGAACATGCAGCGTGACCCTCTGGGATACCAGCAGCAAGGTGTGGACAAGTGCACCTGCAGAAGCGGGACCTTAGTGCTTTTCAATTTGTGATCCAAGATATAAACAACTATGAAATATTTGGCTAAGATGAGACATGCATTTGCATGCAGTAATTGTGGAGAGGGACAAATATGCTCCAAACAAGGGACACTGAATAATATGAAGAAAAAATTATGATACGTTGCTCTTAAATGTAGCATTGTTTTCTAGTATGGATAACTGCCTTACGGCATAGTAACAATAATTATTCTTTGCCCAAAACAGATATCATCTGTTATTTTCTTTGGATTTTTTTAAGAGAAATGGACCTGCAACTGCTTACACTTGTTCTCAGGCATGGTTTCAGCTCCTGTGACTGCTGAGGAGCTGACAAAGCTGTGCATCACAAGCTAAGAACCCAATGACACTAGTCTTCCCAGCAATGCCCAAGTAAGTGCATATGTAGGTGTCTGCAGGAGCAAGAACCAAGGCAGATTCTGAACCATTGTTCGTACTCTAATAAAGAACTCAATGCAGGTGCTCAGTGCAGTATAATCATAAAGTCAGTGATGTATCCTTCCCAAATCTTACAGTCAAAGATCCGCGTCCTTTCACGGCCCAGGACTACTCTGAACCTCTAGAAAATGGGGTAGGGTTCTGTGCTGAAGTAACAGACCGTTCCGGCATCATGGCTTGTAAGGTTTATAAGCTAAAAATTGCAGGACTTATACCTGTAAAGCTTGTGCTTTAACAAAACAAGTTAAGGAAATCCAGCTTGGAAGAAACACCATTTCAATACTTGCCAGTCAATTTTTTTTCTGCTGTCTTCAAGGGGTTTTATTATTTGCAGTGCCCTCAAATACACCTTTCCAGCTAAAGACACAATCATGTGGACAGCTCTTTGTTTTGTTTTTCCTTCCAACCAATGCTTTTGTGTATTTCTGAAACTTAAGACACCTCCTCTGCTACTACAGTACTTATCTGTAACACCATCGCTTTGAGGGATTAAAGCAGGTTACTTGTTACACACTTAGATCAAGAGTTATCTGAGTAGAAAGTCTATCCTGTTAGGGTTGGCGGAATCTGGTTTTGATCTTGAGTTGTTTTGATTTTCTCTGAGAGCAAGTAACATGTTATTTTAACTTCTGAATAAGGTGTGCTACCTGACTGTGTCTCTTCTGTTTTGCAGAAAGGATTAGAAACCTCCACGGAACTTGCACTCTATTAAAGCAGAGTGCTCACCATTGAGAACCAAGGAGCTGAATTGTTTTCAGATTATATGTGTGTGTGTGTGTCTTTCCCACATCAAAGACTTTGATGGAAGCTGTTCACGCTATTGTCAGGAATGCAGGGATTGGCACAAAGGTGATTAGCAAAATTGCTTTTCTGCAAGAGAAGCACAAAAATTATCAAAGGATTAAAGAGGATAAAATTAAAAGGTTATGCTGAATTTGGGGGTAAATTTTCTCCTTTTTATCCCAAATTATACATATTGATTTGGTTTTACCTATAAAAGGTCTGCCAGAGAAATCAGAATTAGAAGCTATTTGGTATGGGTTCTGTTAAAGGGTGAGGAAAAAACTTCCCTTATAAATAATCCCAACAGATCCTATTCTGTATGCTTCCAAATCACATCTACAAGGAGCTTTTAATGAGTACTAAGAGCACCCAGCCAGCAGCCATCTCTACAACATTTTCAGCAGCCACAGGATTGGGACCCCTGGTCATAATTATGCGGAAAATTATTAAACAATTCCATAAATTATTTTGTCATCAGTGATGCTGTTTGTTTACTTTTCTCACTACTCTCTGCTGACAAAGATACTAAACTGAGGGGATAGCTTTCATTATCTACTTGCTGGGCACATGCAATGCTTTTGTATTTTGATCAGCAGCTGAGCTGCTTGAATGGTTTGGAAAAAAAAGGCAATAAAAATGGATTCTCAAATATTTTAGTGTATCAAAATGAACAGCCAAGCCTTCCAGAAGCTCTCTTGCTTGGCATAACTGCAGTGCAATAAAAAAATGTATCACCTCCCATAGCCAGCAGAATTGTCTCATCTTGCTGGTTCAGACTCTGTTTATTGTTCATTTTATTTTGAACAGTCCTCCATTATTTGCCAAGTACCAGTCATATACCTATTTCTTGTCTTTGCATTTTGAGTTTTGTTTGTTTGTTTTACTAATCCGTTATTTTCTGGAAGTCACCCAGAATATTTTATTTGTTTTTAACCTCATTTATCAAAGTATTATCTAAAGCATCTGTTCAGAAAATGTTCATTTTAACTGTTTTCCCAACAATGACCTTCTTCCTCCCCCCCAGGCCACATCAAGTTGTCACTCACCAGACAGCTGTGGAATTTGGAATCATTCCTTTTAAATGCTTTACAATTCCAAATGGTAGATTTCTAATGGCACAATATGATTACCACAAAGATCTTTAAATTTCCCAATCCTCCAGGCTTCAAAGGCTGGACCGTCCTTGATCTCCTGAAGGAATGCTTTTGAATCTTGTTCTTTTATAGGGGCTACCTATGAAGATATTCTAGGGGCTTTTTCCTTTCATACTTGGAGCCTGAGGAACTAAACATTCAAATACCCACTGGCTTCTTTGAGAGTAAGATCAAGACTTACAAAGTTGTTTCTAGAGATTTTCAGCTCAGTTTTCATTAATTCCATAGGTTGTTCCAAAACTTTTTGGAGTGTTTGTAAAGCAATGTAAGAGTATCCTTGGTGTAGCAGTAGCAGTGACTATGATACTGTTTTATCCTGCATCTGCCTTCCACCTACATGGCTCCTTCATGCAGTTCCTAGCCTGACATGAGCAAGTCTGACAGCGTCCTGACTCATTGTGTGCCTGTGGGTACAAAGGGGTCCCTTGCTCTTATAGGATGCTCCACTGTCATATCACTCACAGTGTAACAATTTGCTCAAGAAAAGTGAGCAAGCCTAATCCTACAAGCAGTTTTGGGTCTGCCTTGACCAGGCAACCAAGGCAGAGACCAATTACCTGCAACACTTACAAATCTGCAGAATTACTAGAGTTCTAGGCTTCCTTCTTCTCTTCCCTACAGCCAGAGGCAACATTGCAGTACTAGTCCTTTCCTTCACAATAGGATTTCTCAGTCAGGAGTCTGCCATTTTTTATTTCTCACCGGTTAATTCTCTTTTATCACTGAAATAAAGAATTCATCAATGTGAAGTTAAGAGATTTATAGTGCAACAACAGGAATCCAGTTGGTGCTAGAAACAGCCTTTATTTCTATTCAGTTCAGCTTATGTCAAGCCATAAGGTAAATTTTACCCTGTATTCTCTTACTAATGAAGCACATGTGTATTAAAAAAAATGTAGAGTTAAGGTGTTGCCCTGGCCATATGCTGTAGGTCCTTGTCATGTAGCAGAGCACCACGCAAATGCAGGGTCCCACCTAGAAGATTCACCTGTAGGTTTGGGGCCTTAGGCTGTAAATCCCTTGGGGAAAGCACCACACTTTCTATGCCACTACAGTACCTCACATGGCATGACCTCTGCTGTGACTACAGGCTCTCAGGTATTATTATAAGGAGCAACTAATGTTCTGTCACCGCAGTAACTGTATGTTTAGATTTCCTGTATTGCTAATACATGTGATTTTTAAATAGTCCTTAGCCTAACCTCAGGTTTTGTGACGAGAACAACAAACTGCAGGAACAACTAATTACTAACCCAGTTTATGGGTCAGGGAACAGGCCTTAGATCCTCATTTACACAGGTTTCTTATGATCATGTAAGCCCTACCTCTCCGAGACTATTTTTGTTTGTTTGTTTAAATCAGTTAAAAAAAAAATCCCACGTCCCAAAATAGAGAATGTTTTCCTTTGGAACTGGAAGCAAACACACTTGATGGCTTTAACATCTGCTGGACAATGCATGGATGGGTGGTGGGCACCTCACACGGTTTTGTGACAAACACATGTGCGTACAGCGTGTCAGATTATAAATCCAAGAATAGAGAGTCATTAAAACCTCCCTTCTCTAGCCCACCTGCCATGAAAATAGGCCTTTCACTCTATCTATTTAAACTGAAAATGCGTATTTGGAAGGAAAATGCCAACTTTCCAGGGATTCAAGTCAAAATGTCCCTCCAGTAAAGGGGGTCTGTCAATTGAACATAAATTGATCCATTGTCTGTCTCCCATCAGGACCCACAAGCCACCCCATGCACATACGCTTCTACTCTTGCTAGAAACCGAGACCTCACAGTCCAAGACCATCACAGTGACATTTGCATCTGTCATTGGCTTGATTTGAAACTCTGCATTACTTTCAAATACCTTTTCTACTTTTGCAACCTGTTAGTGCCTGGTGCAATTTTGGGTGCAAATTCCAGTGAGATTAGCTTGCTACCCAGCAGTGCACAAGCCCTCTCAGCTCCACCATGAGTGCAAAGCTTTCTGCTCTTGGAAGGGAGGAAGGGAGAAAGAGCTATTTGCACTCTGGTGCCACAAGTAATAAATTCAGTCCTATTCTTTCTCTTTTCCTCCAGGCTTGCAGATGACTTACCATTATTAGTGTGTATGAATGATTAGGAGCATTATATTGAAATTCATTTCAAAGGACAGAACAGCCAGGCTGTGCAAGATGCCTGTAACCCTGCAGAGGAGAAAGGGCTTCCAACTTACAGACATCAGTTGTGACTCTTGAAATGGAATTTACTAATGTGTGATGACTGACAAATCACAATGCTTTTCATAGATTATTCTCCTTACCTGTAACTGTGATTCTTTATTTAGACACTGTGAGCTTTGTAACACAGTCTGAACCTTATAGCTGCATTAGTAATGCTAGGAAGAGAATAGCTTTTTAAAAGGGATAAAGCCCACAGTGCTTTTTCCCATTGCTTCTCTCTCTTTCCATGCACACAAACTTACAAATGTGCTTTTTTTTTTTTTTTTTAGCATGAACCTCTGCACAACCAGTGAAGCCATCCACTTGCTTATTTTCTGTTGCCCGCCCTGAAGTGCAAGGTCCATTTGCTGCGTGGGTGCCCTAGCAGGTGTTTGGATGTGCAGGTGTGTGCACAGGCAAAGTCCCGAGCGCAAGCACAGACAAAGGTTCGAATACCAGGGCCTTTCAGCCTGAACCTGACACTGCCACTTTAAAACCAGAGACATGGACATCAAAGTTTTCCACTCCCCAGAAGGAATGGACTATTTTGCACCCTTCCAAATGATGTCTCTCATCTCTCTGCCTTTCCTACAGGCTTCTCTCTCTCTCTCACACACACACACATTTTCTAATACCATCCCTCCCTCTCCACTTCAAACCATGGGAAAAACCTAGGAAAAGAAGCTTGCCGACTATGGGACCGTTTCACTGCATTGTGTTTTCCAGCTAGACCTGAACAGACTGAAATCAATTCAGCTCTCTCTCACTCGCTCTTTCCCTCCCTCTCCCATGTCTTTTTTTGTTTCTCTTAGATCGTGCTCCCTGCCTTAAGAAAGCCGCGTTTAGTTATATCCATCCCCATAGCAATCAAGTGACCAGTGTTTTTTTATTGCTTGTAAAAACACAGTATCTTTTTCATGGGAGTCAGGTTCTTCTTTGGTTTGAAATGCCCAGTGAGCAGTGGCAACAACCTGCAGAATCTTTGATCAATTCTCACATATCCATTTGAAGTATCTTTAGTGGACCCATCAAAAGAAAGGGGCTTGGTAATTAATATTTTAATATAGTGTACCAGCCTCTTCTCATTGTGTTATTTGCAAGAGGCCTGATTTAACAGAAGCATGCAGAAATACCTGTGTCTGATCTGAATTGCTATGTGCTCTAAAAAATATACATTATTAAAGCTGAAGTCCAGCTGTTGCTATATTAATATCCTCTGTTTTTTATTTGCTCCTACCTTTTGGAAGGTTTCAGTTTTCATTCTGAAATTTTCCAGGCTTGCTCCCAATACCGAGGTTATAACTGCAGGGTAAGAGCCAGAGGAGAATGCAAGAAGCTTCACTGGAAATTTGAACAGGCGAGATTCAGTACAGCAGAGCCAGCAGCCCAAAGAAGGCAGAAGTGTCACTTAAATTTTGATTGTACCACCTGTTGACAAAGGGACAGAATTAAGATGTGCGTGCACCCTGACTTTTATGCCTTCCAGCCTTCGCAATAGTTAATCACACAGTTAGTATTCCCTTAATGTAGTTTTTTTCTTTCCCTGAGTTGTCCAGATGTGAGGTTGCTGTAAACAACAGTTTCACTGCATTTAACAGAATTATGCCGCTTTACATCAAAACAGGGTATCGCCCAAGGACAGCACAAAAATTACCCACCTGGCCTATCCAGAACTTCCATAATAAAGAAAACCCAGCAACCAAGACTAACCACAAAACAGAAATGTCCAGTAAAAGCCAAACACCACCACTGCAAAACAGTTTAAGTGAGAAAAGTAAAGGTGTTGCAAAGTTGCAGGTAATCACCACCACCTAGCAAGCTGTAGCCTCAGGGGGGATTTTATAGCTTGCACTAAAAAAGATCAACACTCCCCCAGCAAACTGGACTTGCAGAGTCCAGCCATAAGATAATGGCATGCCAAGAGCAGCTTTCATGTAGCCCCAGTTGACCACAAAATGGTGAGGTCTTGATATACTTTAACAATAGATCAAAACCAGCACTGCAGAAACCCACTCACCATGTACAAGGCATTCAGTTCAGGTCATGTCATCCATCACTTGGTCCCGGGTGGCATACATCGCATTTAAGAAACGAATTGTCACCTTCTGTGCTACCTGCAGTTTCCAGCGGAAGGCTGGAGCAATCCTAAATACAAGCCATTGCACTAAAACCTGCCTTCCAGATTGACACACTCTAAGCCAGTTGTCTGTCTGTCTGCCGTTGCGTGCTGAGCATCTGTGAAGGTGAAGCAGAGCAGTTGGGTGCTCAGTACCACTGGAAAAGTAATTTTATTTAGGTGCCTAAATACAGATTTCAGTGTCTAGCTTCTGAATCTTATCACTGCACATGCTGTAACTCACCTGCCTTTTGCACTACTTTGCTGCAATACGAGCTTTAATACTACAATTCAAAATTACTCCCAAACAGTGCAGCACAGCATGAGCTGGTTTTCTTCTACCACCTCAAATCCACTGGTAGTATCAGGTAATTACCTTGCAGCTTAAACTACCTGACATTTGTAACTGGTATCTCCTAAGTATCTTTATTTTGACGGAACCCAGAATGTGGCCTAATTATTTTCAGCCAGCTGCACAACTTTTCAGAGCCAATTTTCAGGAGAAGAGGTGATTAATTATGATCCTGGTTTTGTGCAATACAGACTTTTAGGTAAAGGAATTGAAGAGCTCAGCTGTTCAGTTCAGCAACAATTTCATTTGGTTTATACATGTCAGTATTGCGTGTGTGTTTATAAATATTCTCTGTATTTAATAAACATTGTATTGTGTTAAATGCAGTTTACCAAGTATTTTTCCTATAAATTAATATATGCTGAGAAACATACAGTATGAGAGATTCTATACAAAATTGGAGAAAAGGGCAAATAAAATATTGTACAATGAGGAAATCCTAGATGATAATAGGTATTTCTCTTAGAACATAAATGAAGGTGGCTAGATTTAGTTATCTGTCCTTCCAGGCACCTCCTGATTAGTGTGCTTAACCATACAAACATAATGGTATCCTGGAAGCTTTAGTGCTGCTTTTTTTTTTTTTTCTGAGAAAAACAACACTGTGATAAAAAGAGAAAAAAGATAAAATAAAAACCAAAACACTTAAACATGGAGCAAAACTATGGTGTATTGTCATTGTTGTGGGTGTATTTTCAGGAGCAGTTTTCCCAAGAGCTCATTCTCTTACATGCTATGATTTCTTCTGACTGTTCTGACTCCTTATTTTATATAATACAAGATACAATCTGAATATAAACTTTTTCAAACACTTTTAGGTGCTGAAACTGCCTGGCAGCTCTAGTTGCCCACTTCCAGGACTGCTGAACTTTTCTAGCTTGCAAATAATTGTCATGATTGTGTGTAAATGCCATCTCTTGGGACTCCTGTGATAGATAGTGTAGGAATGCAATTCCCCCTGGAAGTAGCCAAGAGGGATCCACTTCCCTGCACATCTTAAAACATTATTTGGGGAAAAACTCTTTCTCTCCATCCAGGCTCTCAATTATGTCCCTGAAAATCCTGAGAAGAGGGTTGAAAACAGGGTACACTCTCCAAGAAACAAAAAATATGAAGGTTAACAAGGGAACGGGGAAGAATAAAGACATTTTCCCACTCATACAGACAGATGGACGAGAATAGTCTTCTGAGCAATCTGAACTTTGTACTGGAGCACAGTGGCAGCAGACAAACATCATATTAGAAAGGCAAAGGAGAGAACTACAGTGAGAAAGCAGAGAAATGGTGTTGAGACACTTTCGGGGGGGGTAATGCTTCGTTGGGCCAAGTGACCTTTTCCCATCCAGCAATTTCTTCTGTCCCAGTGCAGAATGACAATGGGAGCCCCATGGCAGTGCAATCTGACATCTACCTCTACACCGAAAGAGATTCAACTAGACCGTGCTGCACTGCTGCGGCCATGGGATGCTGTGAAACAAACCAGACCCAAGTTTCCAACTTGCCCTCTTTTCTGTTGTTGTTGTTATTGCTGTTTGTTTCCATTCACCCCCTTTTATTCTCCATTTTTTTTCTGTCTTGACTCTGATGGGGGCTCTTTTTGTGCAAAACAAGCCCTTCTGATCTCTTTGAAAGGCCAGCCCTTGTCATTCTTCCAGATCATCATTGTATGACATGTTTTTATATCAGACTGACAAAGGAGCTATTTGATCAGGGGGTATGGTGTGTGATTGTAAGAAATTCAGCTAGCCGGTGGCAACCATTGTTCCCCAAAGCGGCTCCCTGACCCCATTCTATTCAAGGAAAAACTCCCTTGGAGTGGCCTCTATTCATTGAGTAACACCAGTCCACAGTCTCACTCCAGGAGTATGCTCAATTCAGAGGTGTGTCACCGATATTGCCCATCAACTAGCCTTTAACTCTTTCATCAGCATTAGGTTTCCAACACAACAGCTGTTATCATAGGATGAGCTGGGGGGGTGGGGAGGTTTGTGATGCATTCCAGCTCATTGGAGCTCTCCTTATCTTGGAGAAATTTAACCTTCCTTTCAAAAGTTGCCTTGGAAAATATCCATCTGCTGCTTTCCGCAGAGTGCAGCCCGAGTCATCTGCCTTCCCATCCCTGTGACCTGAAATATCCCAGTTTGTTACTCAGGTTCTAAAACAAGTATCTCCATGCTTGCTCAGACTAATAAGGGTCTTTGCATTTATTTAAATGGTCTTTGGATTTGGCCTAAGATGTTCTGTGATCTTCCTGCATCCCAGTGACACAACCTTCCCTCTCCCAAATAATCTTGTACCCATGCGCACATCCATGGCATCAGTGTGACTACAGCTGGGACTCATCTGTTGCCCTAGGAGACATTTCATCTCACATTATCAGCAGAGAAAAGTTGGGGCATTCCCACGAGCTCCAGGAAGGAGCTCCACTAAAACTGCTCCTGCTTCCTTGAATGGGGGCCTCCATGCACTAACACAGAGCCTCCAAAACACAGGGAAATCAGTGCAAAAGCTCCCACTAGGTTTAAGAAGCTGTGGATCAGGCCCACAGTCCTGTGTGTGCAGTGGTTATAGAGAAAGCAACCAGAATGGGGTTGCACTCAGGAGTGGATGAGTTTGGCACCACAGCGATTGATGGTTTTGAACGCTATTGGGAGAACTGTCTAGATGACAGGATTAAAACTATCTAGCCCCGTACAAATGCAGGTACACAGGTTTCTTACTGTGCCTTGGGGAAGTCTCCAAAGCTAATTAAACTCAGTTCATCCATTTTAGCATGGGTCTGCTGCATCTTTCAGTGAAAAAATTTTCCCCATGCAATGAGCGCGTCCACTGACTCTTGCAGGCCATCCATCTTTTGACATGGTTGCAGTGTCCCAGGAGTAGAGTTACTTGCAGGATCCCCTGGTGAACCATTAGCTGGCTTCCCTGGTTGGAAACACAGCCCTGCTTTTAGCATCACCACTAGACCTCCTCCACCTTCTGCAGCCTTCCTCCACCTGCAAGTATCCTGCTCGGGCTTTGGTACCACCTTGATAGCGGCTATCTCCGGGATCGGGATTTGTTAATAAACTCGGGCTCCCTCTGCTGGGACAGAGCACAAAATACGGGGGGGGGGTCCGCCTGCAAGACAGGGTTACTTCACTACTGGGCCCTTGGCTTTTTTTCCCATGACATTTCCGTAGATGTCATGATGAACCCTGCATTTTTCTCCACTGGGTGATAACAATGGAATAAACAAGAATGCTTTGCACTGCAGCATCCTTCATACCATGCTCCAAAACCTCTGGGAAACTTGCATTAAACTTCCAGTGACCTGTGAGGTGATTTGGCACCATCTCCGTTTTACACAGGGGGCAGGAGGGGCTCAGGTGGCCGAGCAGTTGTTCCATGTCATGAGCTGAAATGCGTGGCCCTCTCCTCTGTCCATTGAGACACGTATATTCCCACACCACAGTGCTGGATTTAACCCTTCTGGGAACAGTCCTTTAAAATGTTTCTGCCACAGACCTTCTCTCCACCACAGGAAAGTTTTTGCATCAACCTCAGATGACCACAAAAGTTGCAGCACATTGGGGAAACCCTCTCCTCCCCTCTCACAAGAGTGTGCTCAGCAGCAGGACCCAGTTGTGTGCACAGAAAACTGATTCTTGGGAGGCTGTGTCTGCACAGCCATCTCTGCATCACAAGTAGAAGGCAATTCTCTGCTTCACACTCACCATGCTAAGCTGCCACACTGTGATTTAAAGCATGAGGGAAAGATTCAGGTGCAGACCTGCTAGCCAAGCATTCCCAGTGTGCAGAGGTGTAACATCCCTGAGTAAAATCAGTTAGCATGGCAAAGAACTGCATTAACTGAGGCTGCTAGGATAAAGCAAGAAAAGGAAAATGTGGGTTAAATCTCAGGAAAAAGGTCCAGGCAAGTACGAAACCTGCTAGGAAAGAGAAGCAAAGCCAGTCCTTGAGTAGAACAGACAAAGCTGCAGAGAAGACACTTCAGGGAGACCTTCCCAGTGGGTCTAGGACTCTTCCCATCTGCTGCCTATGAATTCAGCATGCTACATTATCTCTATGACCTTTAATCCACCCCTAGTTACTGTGCAGAATGTTACTGCATCAACGTTTTTTCCAACAAAAACTGCAGTGTAGATTGAATTAAATGCATTTCCTCAGCAAAGCTGCTGCCTTCATCGCTCACGTCTGTGCTTCCTGCCCAGAGATCACTGCAGAGGGTAAGCAGGCTGGTCTGGATGCTCTAGTTTTAAGGAAGGTCAGACATTTCCCTAGCAGCTCCATACAGGCCAAATCAGTCAAGGAGACCTGTTGCCTTCCATGACAGCAATGACAGCTCTCACCAGTGATTTGGGCACCGAGCTTGCAGCTAAGTCCACAGTACTGTCCTGCAACATCCTGACATTCACCCTGCTGCCTCCAGCCTCATGTAGGGCTGAACCTTCTCTGCTTAAGCTGTTGGCAGAGGTATAGATTCACTGCTTTGATGGAGAAAGATTTACTTCCCCACAACCTGTGTCCCTGAAACAACAACAGCAGCAAACAACTTCAGAGTTCCTACCTCCATAGGGACCACCTATAGGTTTAAAGCAGCCACGCAGGACGGTTTCTGGGTATGAGGGCTCTGTACTATGTTGACAACTCTCCTCTCTCCTGCCCCGAGTTCTTCATGCCCCGCTGACACCTACCCTGCCTTCTGCCTATCTGACCGCTCTTTGGGCTTCTTGTGGCTTTTTGTATCGTGACCACTTACCAGGTGGTCGGCTTCAAACAACGTCTCCAAATGTGCTTCACCTAATAGCAACAGCACTGCATCCCCTGCATAAAAACCAGCAAGGGAGCCCGCCTGGGAATAAATCAGCACACTCAGAGCTTTCCTGTACAGACAGCAACCAGGAAGGCCAGACCGCTAAGTACCAATGGGTTTGGTGCACAGTACCTGTGATGCTGCCTAGACAGCAGAGCAGAGTCTGATCTTGGTGTCTGACATCTCCCTCGAGAATTCAGTGGAGCTCCTCCGGACCATGCATCAGGACAGGGTACAGTCAGGTCAGCCCAGCTCGCCGTGCCACGAGGCGCACCCAGCTCTGGGGTGGAGCAGGCAGCAGAGGAGCAGTGAGCAGTGGGTGCTCCCCAGCATTCTAGCCATGAAATAGCTGCCCGTTCCACTGGGGCTTTGCCTCACTGGCAATTCTCTAAGTGAGGGTCCCTGAAGCAGTCCATTAGGCGTTCATTTGGTCTCAATAGCAGAGGCTGCATATTTGTCACTTCTGGGTGCCTTCAAGGTGACAGTAGGACTAGAAGCCCGATGGG